AAAACAATCCCAGCCCAAATTGTGGCATACATGCTAGCAAACTGGCCCAACACAGTCCTATAACCTGCTCTTTGAACTCATTAATAAGTCCTAGTGTCGAACCCTAGACACTCTGACAGTTAGTCCAAGGCAAATGTCCCTATGGTGAGATCAACCCAAAACTTCTCTAGTCAAATTAAACTAAGCATGATGGGGGTGGGGGTGGGGGTGGGGTTGGGACAGAACCAAAGACAATTCTAGACTTTGGGCTCTAGGCTATTGGATTTGCTGGATTCTTAGATTGTTGGTACAGGGGCAGTGGTGCTGTGTACCCTTTCCAGGCCCTTTAGAACCTTTCATTTCATTGGTGTGTAATTAATGAACTTTATTGTAATGAACAAACCCTCTGTGGCAGATTTAGATAACAGTATTTGAAAGGCTTGTAGTGGTCAGTTTTGGAGGGTGGATTTATGATTGGGTAATTAAATGTGAGCTAACTGCCTCTAGGGTGTAGATTTAAGTTAATTTCACATGTGCATCAGCTTACACTGGTGTATTTGTAGGCAGTATAATGATAGTTCTAGCTGCTGTGTGGGGAGTGGGTTTATTCCAACAGGATACCTTTGTGAAGTCCCGGTGAGAGACGATTAGGAATAAAAGGAGCAATCCCTGGGTGCTGAGCTGGAGATTTCCCCCAGCTTGGGACGTCATAGTTAGAGTAGGACATGTTGGCATTTGTGGTGAGAATATGACTACTTTCCTGACTTGACTCTGAGCTCCCTGAAAATGAGGACTTGGCTTTCAGCCCCGTGTCCCCAGGGCCCAGCCTGGGCCCAGCACAGAGTTGGTGCTTAGCAAGAGTTTCTCAGACTGAGGGAAGGGGAAGGTAAGTGATAGGAGAAGAAATCAGGGAGGAGATGAGAAGAAATAAAGGCTTAACTGGCAGGGTGTGGGGTGGGAGGTGGGATGTAGGATGAGGTCCACCAGGACCAGATGAGGATTTGGTGGTTTTCCATCTCAGCAAGACCCTGGTGTAGAGGCTAGGCCTTCCCATTGCAGAGGGAATGGAGGGTTGAAATTATGGTGGTTTTGCTCTCAGGTGGTTCCTGTGAGTATCTCCATTCTGATAGGAAGGGCCTCGGAGGTGAAGAAATTCAGCTCAGGAATGGCTGGCCCATCGACCTGGCACCTGCTCTTTGCCCTGGTACTGTGACATGCTGAGCTTTAGCCCTAGGACAGAACGACCTGCATGACTGACCAAACAACCTCACTATTCTTCAAGTGACCTCAGCTAAGTCATTTCCTGGCCTTCATTGTTGTTTAAAAAATGATGGGGAGGGTTGGAGAGCAGAAAATCAAGCCCATGACACATTTCATCACCATGCTCCTTGCCTTGACCATTAAATATTTCCTGGAGTTGCTCACCTGCTAACTAAGCTGTTCACAGCTTGTCTTCTATCCTTTATGGGATTTGTAACAAGGTCAGCCTTGGCCATCACAAAGACCCGGAGGAGGGCTGTTTATGTCATTTTGGAGAAGGAGGCAGGTTTTCCCAGGCATGCTTTCTGGTCTGGATGCTGACCATGCAATCTCTCAGGCCCTCCTAAGCATTCTGCTTAAACAAACATTATTTATGTTCAGCAGGAGAACCATTCCCCACCGTCTGCTTTCTCTTCACTCATATAAAACTGCACATTTAATTTCTGTTTACACATATAAAAACTCCATCTTTAGGAGCAGCCTGGGAAATCTTTGGTTGAAGATGGATTTTGCTTTTGGAAAACACAGAAGTGAGTGACATCTGTATATTGTGTTATCAGAAGCGTGACACATGTGGTTGATTGGGACCAGGTGCTTCACAGAATCCATCTGAGTAAAGCTATAAACCTCTAGTTGACAGGCAAGGTGACAGCCCAGGTCTTGCGAGCAAAGTCTCTGCCTTCCATATTAGAGGTAGCAACAAACAGTTGAAAACCTTGGGGTGCTATGAATTAGAAGCTAGGTTTCAGCCAAAGATAACAATTTCTGAATGGCTTGCATACCTTTGACCTGTAAAAGCATCTCCAAGTGGACAGCACAGGTGGGTGGGGATAGACAATAATTTTGGGTTCATCTTAGTTTTACAGGATGGGTAGATTCATTGAGCATTCAATTCTGTACTGGTTAAGGCTTGAGTCCATACCAGTATTTTCCTACTTGGCAGTATGTGATATGGGTAGATAACCTTCCCTGATTTGATTCACATTCAGTGTATTGTGAGTTTGAATCCTGAAGTCCTTAAATCATGGCTTGTTCATTGAACAAAATGAGGGACAGAGAGAGACCAAACCAAGGGGATCTCACCTTGTTTTCCTGATTTATCCTTTCTTGGGTAATTCACCCAACATGTCAGTTTTCATTGGATTATTTCCAAGAGCTTCATCCTTCTCTTCACCCTACAATCCCCTTATCCTTTGTGGATGAATTTGCCTATTTTTTTTGAATTTGCCTATTTTAGGGAGGCCCACAAATAGATTATTGAGCTCTAGCTTGTCTCATTCTAGCTGAGAACTGTCAGTAAATTAGATTATTTTCTTTGAATTTATTGGTAGAAGGAGGTAAGGGGATAGTAGCATGTTGTTTGTGAGGAAGGCTACCACTTGGTAAGTAAAATATCTGTAATTTTAGCTTTTACATTACATGTATGTTTGCTCCTGAATGAACATCTCTCTGTGATTTTTAGTAAATCAAAGGAAATGGCAGCTATGCGTAAATTTGGGTATTCTGAACCAAAACTAGACTGTACATTGGGATTACAAAATGATGTCTGTCCTGGGAAGTATTTCTGAATGTATGTGAACATTTTGGTGAGTTGGTTACATGGGTTGTTCTATTATCTTCCAAGATACAGATTTTGGTTCACTAATGCTGCTCTTATTTATGCTATTGTGTAGTATTGGACTTTGAAGGAATGACTGATGTCCTTCTCAGTCAAAAGTGGAAATAGAGGCACAGTCTTTCAAAGCTGACAATGAGAACACGAAAGAGGCCAGGCCACCTGGATGGCTCAGTGGTTGAGTGTCTGCCTTAGGCTCAGGTCATGATCCTGGGATCGAGTCCCACATTGGGTTCCCCTTAGGCAGCCTGCTTCTTCTTCTGCCTATCTCTCTCTCTCTCTCTCTCTCTCTCTCTGTGTCTGTCATGAATAAATACATCTTAAAAAAAATATGAAAGAGCACAAATGCTGCCGGCTCTGGCTCTCATCTCCCTGTCTTCAAGGTAGCTTGGACATTTAGTGACACATCAACAATCACAGATTTCCTCAATGTAAATTAACCACTAGTTTTCTTACAGAAACCCTATCCTGTGAGGTATCCTCTTTTTAAATTTATTTATTTTATTTAATTAATTATTTATTCATGAGAGACACAGAGAGAGGCAGAGACCCAGGCAGAGGGAGAAGCAGGCTCCCCACAAGTAGCCTGATGTGGGACTGGATGCTCTATCCTGGGATTAGGACCTGATGCTCAACTGCTGAGCCATCCAGGCATCCCAGTATCCTCTTTTTAAAGGTGAGGAAACTGAGGCATGGATAAGCGTTGGTGATTATTGATCATTCTGGTCTAGATGGGCCCCACATTCCCCAGGCTCGTCTTGTCAAAGGCCTGGAAACTTCAGAGGCCAAGAAGGGGCCACTGGGATGGGGATTTCTAACCCCAGGACTGGCCTGTGATTGAGATTCCAAACTTTTACACTGTGGTTGGTGGCATCCTTCTAGGAATCTCTCTTTTTCTCCCTTGCTGAGCTCTCTGAGTTTGTCTGGAAAAATTTCCATATGTTCTATTTGAGCCCTTCCCACCATTTGAAACTTCCTGGGTTTTTGCTCTGGCATCTCTGACTCATCCCCTACCCCCCCCTTCCTCCCCTGGGGTCTCTGTAGGATATTATTTGGTTGTTGGTATGTGAGTATTTATAGTTCTAGTATTGGCTTTTTCTTTAAAGCAAAACCTTAAACTCCTTAGAAAATAATTGGAATTTCAGGAAGAGTTTTCTGGTTTATTTTTATACTGCTTAACAGACTGTGATGATTTGCTAGAAAACTGGCTGGAGTTTGGCTTTGAGGCTGGGGGTCCTCTGAAATGCCTCCCACAAAGGTCCTTGTGTGGACATCCTCTGGGCCTGGGGACCCGCTGCCCTTCCACTGGAGCCAGATGATGAAGAACTCTACAATACTACTCAAAGGGCCACAGGCCAGACGGTGCTTTTTTCTGTACCGTAGCCTTGTTTCTATTAAAATGCTTTAAAAATAGGGAGCTTGGGGCCCTACAATGCCATGAGAATTGATTTTAGGGGATGAGAAAGTGACAACTACAAAGCCCCCAAGCAGTAGGAAAGAATGGTGCACATGAAGATAGCTGTGCGTGGTTGGCTCTTATACAGAAGAGCTGGAAACAGCATAGTGGGTAAGAAAAAGGCTCTGGCTAAAAAGCCAGGCTTCTAGGAGTTTGACCCCCTCTTCACTGGCTGGCTGGTGCTGGGCTTCTCTGGGCCTCTGTCTATCCATATCTAAATGGCGATAATCCTGGGGCTCATGTGAGGATGAAATGTAGTAATGAACTATAAATGTCAGCTCCTACTAATGGTGTCCACCCCAAATTGCAGCACACAGCTGCTTGTACTGTGCACACCCATGTCGCCAGGGAACCCGGCCTGGAGCCACCTGCCCCCAGAGATGCCTATTCTTTTTGAAGGTACTGTGGCTCCCATCTTCCTACTGGGCACGGCTGTAAATGAGATGACGGTCAAGGGCCATACTCAGCCCACATATGTGCACATCCACAAATGTAGCACCTTTGGGTTTCCTCATAGAGCTGGCCCGTTGGGCACAGGGCCCCTCAGCTTCCCAGGCAGAGCTGAAAACTGCAATTCTGTGTCAGCTGAGCACACGCAGGTGGCTGGGAACCATCTTCACCCCCTGCGCAGAACAAGACAGGAGGCTGGGCTTAACAGAGACGCGGACGACAAGATTTAAATAAATAAGCTGTATTATCTGTACAAAAAATATAAATACAGTTTTGTGTTTTTAGAGGAGGAAGTGCCTCCTGCCACATTGTTCAGCCGCTCTAATAATCTTGTGCTGCTGCTGAGTCACGATTCACAGAACAAACAGTAAATGTACATTCACCTCATGCAAGGAGCGCGCTACTTCCCACCCCAAACCTAGGTCCTCCAGGCTCGCTCTGACACCCACTCCAACCTCTGCAGCCCCCCACGAGGCAGCGCTGGAGGACACCTGCTATTTAGGAAACGTAAATATTGGCCACTGGTTTTCCATGGCTATTGAACTAGAAAAATAACCACGTCAGTTAGTAGGATGGAATCTGTCGTCTTCATCCCATGCATAACTATTGTGTCACAAGTGAATCTCCTCTTACTGCCCTGTCCTCCCATGTTAGCTTTGCAACCTATTCTGTACACAGTGAATGGATCCGGAATTAAACATCAGGTTCTGTTAAAAATAGGAACAATACAATAATTACCACTGAGTTTACAGGAACATAACCGCAGGAAGTTAATAAAAAGTCCCCCAAATATTCTGTTTTCTGGATGACAATGTACAATTATTAATATTGCACTTTTTTATACAAGAAATCCTAATAAATATTCACAAAAGATATACAGACATAGAAAACATTCTCTTTTATTTTAAATAAAATGACACCGATTTTTAGGAACATGATTTCTTAGAGCCTACTGTGGTGAGGAAGAAAGAGTCCCAACCTTAATTGTCCATAGCTCGCCTGGGGAGGACACAGCTTAATACTGTCTTTCCCCCTGTCTCTGACTTCCAGGTGGGCTGGAAAACACAGCTCGGGTATCAGTGGCAGCCCCAGGGTGAGTGGCATTTTGTGAGTTGGTATGGGGGGCACAATTTATCCAAGGGGTGAGTGATGGTGACTGTGTTGCCCTGGCTATTGAGTGGTGTTCACTCAGGGGGAGGTGGCCAAAACCACTCACCCGAAGCCCCTCTGTTGAAAGAGCAATTTGCTAAATAGTTCCAGAAATTCAACTTTGCCACTATACTTGGCTACAGCTGTTTTACTCTAGCTGATGGGCATTTCTAGAAGAGTATGTGCTGCCTTGCTCACCGAATTACCCAAACTGGTGGATATTACTTCTTAGAATGTTCATAGTATTTCATGATGTGGGGGAAACAGGTTGAGAAGACTTTGGGGACCCTTTTGCAAGCTTTAGTTATCCTATGGCTTTGCCACCACACCCCATCACCCTGCCCCGAGCTGCTGTGTAAATAGGAGGGCAGCTCTCACTGTGCTCCTAGAAAGGCCCACACAAGCCAGGCAATCCCACCCCGTGTCCCTGGAAGTGGCTACTAAGACCTGATAGATACTCTGGCAAATTGACCCGAATCCCTGGCCCTTGAGTGGAGTAGCATAGGCCATACAGGCTGAAAACCCAGCCTATTCAAGCCCCAAATCCCCCTGGCCCACATCAGTGGTTATTAATTCTGAGTTGGGGCAGGGGGAGGAGTGGAACTCTTGATTTAGGGAGAGACGCCAGGGTGGCCTGACTGCATAGCTAGACCGTGATGTCTTGCTAGCTTTGCTATGGGTGTACAGGCAGAGAGTTGACGGAGACGGCATGGGGAGTGGGGACTCCCCTGCACCCCAAGGAGGGTATATCTTCTCCCACACAGCATGGGCCCCCAGGGCCTGTGCCCTCTGTGATGTTGCGGCGCAGTTCCGAGTGCCCCTTCCCTGAGCCTCCTGCCTGCTCCCTCCTCTTCATCTACCTGTACTTGCCCACTGAGGAGCGTGCACAGGGTTCTTTTTGCTTCTGTCCCCTTCCCCACCCCCAGCTGGCTTTCTGAAGCATGGTGCTTGAGGCCCACCTGGTTGTCTCCTCCTGACTGCTGGTGTCCATGCTTTGAGTTCCCATTGCTCCCCCACCAGAAGAGCGGAGTTCTGGCCTGGGCACTGCCTCGCTGTGGCGTCCTCCCCTCCCTGCCTGCTCGTCCCAAGGCCGAGGCACAGGACGACTGAATTGGAAGCACGCTCCTTTGTCAACCGTGTGCTGCCGGCAAAGACACGGTTGGCTGTCCCCAGTCTGTATCAGTGGTGCCTTGTGCACGCGGCGCCCCCCCCCCCCCCCCCCCGCCCTCTCTGTCTGCTCCGGCCTCTGACTCCCTGTTGTCCCCAGGAGCTAGCTTCCCTCTTCCTTGGTCTGTCTGGGACCTGGGTTTGGGACGGCGTCCGCTCTGCAAGCTCCTTTCGGCCTCTTTCCTTGTCTTTCCCCGACCTTCTGTCCTCCAGCTAACTGGGAGAGAGGACGAGCGAGGTCCTCACGTCTGGGGGGGGGGGGAGAGGGTGGACGGGTGTGAGTGGGGGGGGGGGCGGAGAGGGAAATAAATAAATAAACGAAGAAAGCTTAAGTTCTGTCCGAGGTGGTGGCGGGAGTCCTCTGCGTGCCAGCGTGGAGCTCTTCCCCGGCGCGTCTTCACGCTTTGCCGCAAGTCCCACAGCAGCGAGATTTGAACTGGCTCAGTTGGCAGAGCTTCAGCTGCTTCACCTTCTCGCAGTACCTGGTGGTGTCTCTGCACTCCACTGGGAAACGGACACAAGAAGGGGTGAGCCGGGGCCTTGGGGGGGCTCCCGCGCTGGAGGGGCCGCTGCCGTCTAGCACTGGGCCTGCTCTTGCTCTGCGGGAACTCCCGGGCTGCCCCCGGCCCCCGCCCCGCTGCCTTGGGGGTGCTGCTCATCTCCCTCTCCTCGGGGCCGCCTTTATCCCTGACGCCTTGGGGCCTCTCCTCGCTCCGGCCCCGGAGGACTGAATTCTGTTCCACTTGCATGAGGTGTGCAAGTGCGGCCGGGGTGATGGCCTCATGCCACGCAGTGCCCGCCGCCTGTGCCCCGGGAAGCTTGGCATTCGTGGGCACCTACGCCAGTCCCCCCCCCCCCCCCGAAGGCTGCACCGGAGCCTGGGCATGCTTCTTCAAAGGGCCACAGGCCAGACGGTGCTTAGATGCTGGTGCGGAGTCGGGCGGTGCACATCTGCGATTAACATCGTGAGTCGGGGATATTTTGATGGACTGTTAGGATGGATGGTGGTGGGCTCCTGACACAAAGGTGGGTGGGCACCACCCAGAGAACAAAGATCACCTCTCCCCGGTGTATAAGCAAAGGGACAAGGTGCCCCCAGGGCATCTGCCTCAACGTGGGCAATCCCATGCTGGGAGAGGCCCCGGTTAGCCGATAGCTGCATTGCAACATTTTAACATTTCTTATTCTTTGCCTATACTTTCTCTCCTTCCCTTTCCTGCCTTTGTCTCCCCTCCAATTTGTTTTGGGTCCAGAGGAAGGAAAAATACCCAACTGGGATATAAATGCCTGTGTGGGGCGGAGGAGGATCCCGACTGAGGGAGGAGAGAGGGAATGAGTGTCAGATCCGGAGGGCACCGGCTCCTGCACGGTCCCGGTGGGTGCCCGTGTGGCGGGAAGGAGGAGGCGCAGAGGTCCTTGTTCTGTGAGAAGCAGAGCCACGCGGCTGCAGGGCCGGCCGGGCAGGAGGCACTCTGCGTGCTCCTATCGTGCGGACAGTACTTTGTCTCGGCCTGGGCCCCAGGAGGCACTGGTGGTCCTCTCCCGGGTACCAGCCAAGTACGGCGGGTGAGCCGGAGGCTGATTTCATTTGGGACTTGGCCAGTAGCACCTGGCTTTGCTCGGTGCCTTGGGGCACACTCAGCCATCTTTTGTGGCCCGGACACACGTCCTTGTACACGTCTTGGCTTACCTGCATGTACCCTTCTGAAAATACCCAACCCTGGCCCTGGCTCACAATCCTAGGGAAACCCGATCTAGTGCCCTAGGTTTGGGGTCGGCCCCAGGCATGGCCCTCTGCACCTGATGCCCTGCGGGGACCTGGCAGAAAGCTCCCTGGGGTCGGAACATACTGTTTTCGCATGGGGTGATGTTGCAGCGCTGCCAGTTGGCGGGCCGGGGCCCCCAGGAGCACAGGTGCTCGGGCACCGCCTTGTTGGTGTGGGCGTGCACACACTCCACGCGCCGGGCCTGGAAGCCGTAGTTGCCACATGTCGCCGTGCACAGGCTCCACAGGCTGACCCTCCAGTGTACGCTGCAGGCTTCTGACCAGCAGTTCTGAGTGCTCACGGGCCTGCAGGAGGAGGGTGGCAGGGTTAGGGTCTGCCCCTGTGGGCATGGGATCGGGGAACAGATGGGAAAACAGTGTTGCAAATCCAAGGCCAGGCAGCTCCTCAAGAACTGCTGGTGCTCCCAGAGGTGGCTTCTGATCTCTGTTCTGAGATCTCAGAAGGCCGCTTGCTCTAACTGGGCCTCTGTGTGCTCCTCTCCACAAAGTCTGTATCACTGCATGATCCGAGAATGAACCCTCTCCAGGACAGAGGCTGGCAGAGGCTGGGGCCTTGGGTGGGGATGGTAGGCCCGCACCCCAGGGGAACCTCTACAGGCAAGTATGACAGGGAATGGGGACTGCCATCTAGCACTGGGCCTGCTCAGTGTATTTTATTTTTAAAATTTTTAAGAAAGATTTTATTTAATTATTCATCAGAGACACAGAGAGAGGCAGAGACATAGAGGGAGAAGCAGGCTCCCTGCAGGGGAGCCTGATGTGGGACTCTGATCCCAGGACCCCAGGATCATGACCCGAGCCAAAGGCAGATGCTCAACCACTGAGCCACCTGGGTGCCCCGGAATGATAGGTTTAGACCCAGGGATCAGGGCCTTCACTTCAGCATAACTTTTGTAGAAGGCCAACAAGTGTGAGGGGCTGCTGGAGACCTTAAGGTGTGATGTCCACCATGTGGACCTCACTTCCTGCCCACCTTGGGGCTCGTGCCAATCTCCCGTGGTATCAGGCCACCCTCGGAGGCACAGCACCGTCTGTACTCTTTATCTCCGAAGGAGGAGAGGTCAGCCTGCCCTATTCACTAAGTGCAAGGCCACCACAAAGCATCTATCTCTAGGGAGAACAGTGGCCTGGGAGAAGGAGGGGAAAGGGAAGGGTATCTGACCACAAGGACCTTGGGATGTTGGAGGAGAAACATCCACTCATGCTATCTTTCCATGCCACTGACCCAGGGGCTTGGGAAAGGAAGTCCATAGATTTCTCTTACCTCGGAAGAGCGCTGCACTGCTCTGATGGTAAGGTGATGCCATCCCGCGTCTGGCAAAACACTTGTCTGTGTTGCACGGCTAGGTGAGGCCCGATGCAAGGCCCATTGCACTGGGGGGCAGATAAAGGCGACATGGGTAATGTTAGCCAAGTTGGAGGGGGTTGTGTGTGGCTGCAATGCTCAGGCTGCATGGGATGCAGAGTCCTTCTGAGCATTTTGAGGCCTTCAGATCATTCATCTCACCCCTCCTTGTGTTAACTGAAGGACATTCATTGGCACATTTCTCTGTTCTCTGTGCCATGGCGGAATGGTTAGCTTTTCTAGAAGCATTTTGCTAGCAAATGGCTAATGGTAGTAAAGAGCCAGTCAGAGAAGGTCCACTCCCTCCCCAGATGAACCATATCAAAGGTTTCTTGGCATAATGCACAAGAATGTGGCGTGGTAAGCTTTAGAGCAGAAGAACTCTAAGTGCTCCTTCAGTCTACAGGGCAATTTGGTTTGTTGTTTTCTTGCTAAATTCAGGCAAATTAACAAGTCCATCATTTCTTTCCTTTCTTTGGCTTCGTTTTTTTCTAGGTTAAACCCGACACAGCTGAACAGAAGTAGACTGAGGTATGTATAGTTTAGTCCCTGTTCATATTCTCCTGCTAGGTGCTCCTAGAGATTGTTCAGCTTCTTCCAGAGTTGCCAGAGCCAAACTGTCACGGGAAATCCCATACCAACAACATGTCCGTAAAGCACAAAGGCAGCAGGCCCTTAACCAACATTTGCTATTTGGGTAGAGTAAGGGAACAGACATGCCTTAGAGGTCACTTTGGAGAAAAAGCTCTTGGGGATCTTTGGACTCCAAGGGTCTGCAGGGGGCTGTTAACCTTCAAAATTATAAGCAGAAATCTTTACAAAAGCTTTTTTTTTTTCTTTTTGACCCCCTTTACCCATTTCTCTCATCTTCTAATTGCCTGCCTCTGGCAATTACTACCAATCTATTCTGTGCATTGTGTGTCTGTGTGTATTAGATTCTACATACATATCACATGAAATCTATATATATAATCTATATATTATCTATATACCATACTACATCCATCCATTGTTGGACATTTTGATTTTTTACATTTCTTGTTTATTGTAAATAATGCAAAGAATATAGGAGTATATATGTCTTTTTGAGTTTGTGTTTCTACTTTCTTTGGAGAAATTCTACCCAGAAGTGGAATTGTTGTTTCATATGGTGGTTCTATTTTCCATTTTTTGAGGAACATCCCTACTGTTTTCCATAGTGGCTGCACCAATTTCTATTTCCACCAGTGGTGTACAAGGGTTTTCTTTTCTCCATATCCTTGCCAATAACTGTTGTCTTTTTGATAATAGCCATTTTAACAGGTGTGAAGTAATATCTCATTGTGGTTTTGATTTGCATTTTGCTGATGATTTGAGATTATGTACCAAGATACATTTTCATATACCTGTTGGCCATCTGTATATCTTCTTGGGAAAAAGATATTTTCAGATCTTCTTCTCATTTTAAAAATTGGATTTTTTTTTTTGCTATTGAGTTGCATGAGTTCTTTATATATTTTGGATAGTAGGCCCTTATTAGATTTATGATTAGCAGGTATTTTCTCCTATTTTCATTCTCCCTTTTCATTTTGTTGATGATTTCCTTTGCTGTACGGAAGCTTTTTAGTATGACGTAGTACTGCTTATTTTTACTTTTGTAGCTTTTGCTTTTGGTATGAATAAAAAAAAAAAAAACCCAAACACTGTCAATGCCTGTGTCAAAGGACCTTGCTGCTTATGTTTTTGTTTTGTTTTATTCTGTTTTTGTTTTTTGAGAGAGAGAGAGAGAGAGAGAGAGAGAGAGAGACAGAAACCACTCAGCACGGAGCTCAACACAGGGTTTGATTTCACGACCCTGAGATAATGACCTGAACCCAAATTAAGAGTCGGATGCTTAACTGAGCCTCTTAGGTGCCCCTGCCTATGTTTTATGATTTCAGGTCTTATATTCAAGTCTTTAATTTATTTTGAGTTAATTTTTGTGGATGGTGTAAGATTGTGGTTAATTTTCATTCTTTTGTATGTGGCTGTCTAGTTTTCCCAACCTCATTTATTAAAGAGACAGTCCTTTTCTTACCATATATTCTTGGCTCCTTTGTAGTAAATTAATTGACCATATATACATGAGTTTAATTCTGGGTTTTTATTTTGTTCTATTGACAGATGTCTGTTTTTATGCCAATAGCTTACTCTTTTGATTACTATAGCTTTTTAAAATAGCTTGAAATTAGAGATCATGAGGCCTCCAGCTTTGTTCTTCTTTGCCAAGTTTGTTTTGGCTATTTTTTTTTTGTAGTTCCACACAAATTTTAGGATTATTCTAGTTCTGTGAAAAATGCCATTGGAATTTTGATAGGGATTATATTTAATCCATATATTGCTTTGGGCTATGTGGGCCTTTTATCAAGATTTATTCTTCCAATCCATAAGCACAGCATAGCTTTCTATTTATTTGTGTCTTCTTCAATTTCTTTCATAAATGTCTGCTAGTTTTCAATAGTCACTTTCTTGCTTAAACTTTTTCATAATTTTTCATTTTGATGTAATTATAAATGGGATCATTTTCTTCATTTCTCTTTCTGATAGTTTGGTGCTGGTTTTTGTATATTGATGTTGTATTCTGCAACTTTCTGAATTTGTTTATTATAACAGTTTTTGATAGAGTCCTTAGAGTTTTCTATACATAATAGCGTGTCCATCTGCAAACTATGACACTTTTACTTTTTCTTTTAAATTTGGATGCCTTTTATTTCTTATCTAATTGCTTTAGCTAGGACATCTGACGCTATGTTAAATAAAGATGGGGAGAGTGTGGCCATCCTCTCATTTCTGAGCTTAGAAGAAAGGCTTTCATCTTTGTACCACTGAGAATGATGTTAGCTGTGGGCTTTATCATATATGGCCTTTATTATGCTGAGGTACATTCATTCTATGCCCACTTTGTTAAGAGTTTTTTTTATCATGAATGGGTATTAAATTCTGGTATTGGGATCTTTAGGGTTTTTACATATGAAGTCATGTCCTCTATGAACAGGGATAATTTTACATCTTCCTTTTCAACTTGAATGGCTTTTCTTTTTCTTGACTAATTGAACTTCCAATAGTATGTTAAATGGAAGTGGTGGACATTGCATTCTTGTCATGTACTTCATCTTAGGGAAAAGTTTTCAGTCTTCACTGTTGATTATGATAGCTATGGGTTCTTTTAGTTGTGGGGTTTTCATATGTGGTCTTTATTATTTTGAGGTAGTTTCTTTTTATTGCTAGTTTGTTGAGTTTTTATCCTAAAAGGAATTTGAATTTCATCAAGTGCTTTTCCCTCATCATTTGAGATCATGTGTATTTTTCCTTTTATTCTGTTAACATGGTACATTATAGTGGTTAAGAATTATATGTTGAACCATCCTTATAAAAATAAATCCTACCTGAATGTTTGTAATCCTTTTAATATGCTGCTATGTTTCATTTGCTAGTATTTTGTTGAGGATTCTGCAGTAATGGAAGGAATGGAGGAGGGGGGCGGGGGGAAGGAAGCCATAAGACATACCAAAGTTGCAAAAGTTAGTCCTTCCTTATCAGTAATTATTTCAAGTGGGGAAAAACTTCCCCAATTAAAGGGCAAATATTAGTTTAATAGGTGAAGAAAATAATCAAACTCTTTGCTATCTACAAGAGACACTGAAAGTAAAAGGATGGAAAAGATACTTCATGCAAAAGTGGTAACCAAAAGAGGGTTGTGGCTATCCTAATGTCAGATGAAATAAATTTTAAGTCAAAACTGGTGTAAGAGACAAAGAAGAAAATTATGTATTGATAAAGACCAAGATATAACAACTACTAGTTGACCTATATGCAGAAGCACCAAACCCCCAAAATGCATGAATCAAACACTGACAACAGAAATAGTTCTACAATAATAATTGGCTACTAAAATACTCTACTTTCAATAATGGCTAGGACAACCAAACAAAAGATCAATAAAAAAGAATTTAGCAAGACTAAGTCTAGTTGGACCTAAGGGACCTATACAGAACACTCAACCCAACCAAAGCAGAATATACATTTTTTTCATGTTAGGCCACAAAACAAGTATTAATAAATTTAAAAAAATGAAATCATACAGAGTATCTTTTCACTACATGAATTTCTGCATCAATAATTAAAAGGGATGTTGGTTTTTAGTTTTCTTGTACTGTCTTCCTCTGGCTTTGCTATCAGGGTAATCTTGACCTCATGGGATGATTTAGGGAGTGCTAGTATTCTTTCTCTTTCAATTTTTAGGAAGAATAAACTTAGGCATAAATTCTTCTTTAAGTATTAGGTAGAATTCACGAGTGAGGACATCTGGGCCAGGGCTTCTCTTTTATGAGGTCTTTGATTACTGAACAAATCTCCTTATTAGTTATAGGTCTATGCATATTTTTACTTCTTCATGATTTGATCTTGATGGGTTGTATGTTTCTAGGAAATTGTCTATTACATCTAAGTTATCCAATTTGTTGGTGTACAGTTGTTCATAGTACAGATTTGGTGTTATCACTTTTATTTCAGATTTTAATAATTTGACTTTTTTGTTTATTTCTCAGGTAGCTAAAAGTTGGTCCATTTTGGAGAAGAAACCAACTTATAGTTTCATAGATTTCTTTTTTTAAAGGTTTTATTTATTCATGAGACACACACACACACACACAGGCAGACACATAGGCAGAGGGAGAAGGGAGCCTGATGTGGCACTGGATCCTAGGACCCCGGGATCACAACCTGAGCCAAAGGCAGACACTCAAACACTGAGCCCCCATGTGCCCTGGATTTTTCTGTTTCTTTTATCTATAAATAATATATTTATCCACTTTTCTCTTTATTATTTCCTTTCTTCTACTAGCTTTGGGTTTAGTTTGCTCTTGTTGTTTTAGTTCCTTAAGGCCTAAAGTCAGGTTGCTTTTTGAAGTCTTTCTTTTTTAATGTAAGCATTTATAAATATAAATTTTGCTCTGACCACTGTGTTCTCTGCTCCCCCTATTTTCACTTGTCTCAGGTATTTTCCAATTTT